ACAGCCTGTGTGGTATCTCCCAGTTATATGCAGCGAATTTTCCTTCTGTGCCAGGAAAAGCAAGGTTTAACATCCCTCCATGTCTTAATTATGATATTTCTTTAAAAAAAAATAAAAACTTGTAATACAGGCTTTTCTCTTTCATTCACAATATGCCTTCTGAACGGTTTTAATCCACTTACACTACACCCAAATTCCAACATAAGTTGTCCCAAGTGCTTCATTACTCCTGTTTATTTTTTTTTTCTGGCAATAAAAAGAACTGAGTCCTACAGAAGTGTTGATTAACAAAATGAACTTTACGTATTTATTTATTTTTTTACATTTTGACAATCTTTACATAGTTAATTAGGGTAAAAAGGTTCAAGGGCTACAGGAAAGTGGGTAAAACTATTATTTTTTTCATACAAAATGAACTTTAATACATGTATTAGGGAATCAGGATGCAAGTGCCCCTCTGAACAATGAGATGAAGTTTTTGCTAATAAACTGTAGTATCAACACTTCTCCCTCCGCCCCCACTGCGCAGGAACTGTAAGTAATTTGGCTTTTTGGTCCTTTCACACCTTAGAAGTTGCTACAATTCTTAGTTCACCATAACGGTCTGATTTAATAAATCAGAGAGATTTCAGATTCAGAAAAAACACCGTTGTGTGACTGAAGTGGCTGTGATCCATTTTGTGTAAACAAAGTCTTTAATTGCCTCGCATTATCTTTCAAGAACAGATCCAATCTTGCAGTGAAAATGCCAAGGCCCGGACATGACTCACTGCAGGTGTCTGGGCCTCCTCAGCCCTGCCTGGGAAACATCAAGAAGTCAATCACTTCTGGTGCCATCTCTGAACGATCAATTACACACATTCTGCCCAAAACTGAGGACACGGTCAACGTGACCAAGCTGCATGGGCAGGACAACGAGACCTATTTTAAATAGAAATGTGACAAGGCAGCAAGACATATCTGTTTCCATAAACTCACAGAAAGGGCTATAGGTAGAACAAAAGTCACCCACTTAACCTGTGGCAGATGATGCTAACAGGTGGCTCCCATTTACACCTGGGAGAGGACCTGGAAGAAGAACAGTCAGCTACTAGGACCGTGGGGAGAAAGAGACAACCCTTCTCTACTTAAACTAGTTGTAGGTGCTGATTAAAAGAATAGAAGCATAGGAAAGGCGCCCAACACAGAAAAAATCTTGGTAAGGAAAAACCCTAAATACATAAGAGAACTAGGTCACAGCTAATCCAACGCAACAGGAAAATTGATAAGAACTGGTCCAAGGATGAGCTTGTGAGAGCTAATTTGTAGCAGAGCTGACAGCATCTCTTCCAGCTATGGCCCAGTAGTGAGAAGGGTTCAGGAGACTTGCATCCACAGGGCCCAGATGCTCCCACAGGAAGGCATACACCAGAAAGGGGTGAGGTGGGGAAGGGACATACAGACACAGCCCAAACCAGACACTAGCCACAACCCCCACGAGAGGAAATCGCTCAAAAAGAAAAAGATCGAGGGAATATAAAATACCAACTGATCTCAAACAGCAATCAAGTCAGTCCCAGTTAACCAGGATTCATACCTGAACACAGCACAGACAAAACAGAAAATCCTCTCTTCTCTACAAACATGGAAGAGTCCCAAAGAGGTTTTTATTTCTACCCAACAATAATCCACGGTAGTTGTTAACGTACGCCCTTTCATCAAGTAAAAACTGGGGATCACGCAGGTTTATTTTCTCCATTTCTGCCTTGGTCTTAGCTCCCTTCTCACATCCCCTTCCCCCAGGAGCCTCCCTTTTCTCCCACTCAGGGTGGTCTGAGACACCCCCCCCCACCACGTCAGGTCCACAGCTGTCCCCAAAGTACCTCCTCTCCTCCCTTCCACCTCTTATTATTAGCTCTTTAAAAACAAAACAAAAAGAGCATTCCATTCTTAAACACGATTCCCTGCAGGAAGACTTTGAAACGTCTGTCTACATTCTACAGCAAGGTAATACCTTTCACACCTGGATACAGAGCACGCTAAAAACCCCTCCTATCAAGGGGTTCCCCAATGTTCCCGTAACATCTCTCCTTGCTGCTTGCTACCTCTTACTGCCTGTCACAGACTGATTGCCCATTCTACCCTGTCGTCTTCATTTTGTCCCAGTTTGCAATGCGTGGTAGCCGAGCCACACTGATTCAACTCTCCATGTTGTAACATCGGGAAACAAGCAGTCAGAGCTCAACAGGCAGGCTGGCTACCTGACATGACCCCTTGCAAACTCAGTCTCCTTGTCACAGAGAACACTGCTGGCCTCCAAATGGAGGGCTTCCCAAGACAGTCATAGAAAGCACTGATGCTCCACACCCCCAAAGATTCACCTGATGCTCTTCATAATCTTCAGTGGTCTCTGGACTTGTTAAAGAAGCATACTGTGGGGATGCATAAATAAGGCATGGTTGTAACCATTTCTAAAGTGCTCAACGGGGTCGGCATGATGGCTCAGTGGCTAAATCCTCGCCTTGCATGCGCCATGATCCCTTATGGGCGCCAGTTTATGTCCCAGTTGTTCCATTTCCTATCCAGCACCCCGCTTGTGGCCTGGGAAAGCAGTAGAGGATGACCCAAAGCCTTTGGATCCAGAACACGCGTGGGAGATCCAGAAGAGGCTCCTTGTTCCTGATTTTGGAATGGCTTAGCTCTGGCTGTTGCAGCCACTTGGGGAGTGAACTAGCAGTTGGAAGGTCTTTCTCTTTGTAAATCTGCCTTTCCAGTAAAATAAATAATCTTTAAAAGACCCAGCATGTCTGACTGAAAGCATGTTCTAATGCCAGAGAACACTTTGACCTCCTCGAAAGGAAACTTCAACTCAAGGCGGACACTCTCAAGGTTCCCCATCTGCTGGTGATCTCTCTGGCCTAGGTTTGCAGGTTAAATTTTTTTATTTAGATTTTTTATTATTTGCCAGGCAGAGTATATCAGACACACAGAGAGATCTTCCATCCCCTGATTCACTACCCAAATGGCTGCTATGGCTGAGACTGGTCCAGGCTCAAGCCGGATGTTCCTAGTTCCATCCAGGTCTCCCATGGGGGTGGATATTTCTACAGTTTCCCAGGTGCTTCAGAAATGAAGCAGCTGGGGCTCAAGCCACCAGCACTCAGAGAAGGGATCCTAACATTGCAAAAGTGGGCTTACCCCACTGAGCCGCACCTCCTTTAGCCAACACCTTGGTACCTGACCACAACAATGTTCCAAGGAGGCATAACGTGCCCCCTGGAATCCTCAAGTCCCCTTTAGCTCAATTTGGCGCATGAGACCAACAGGTGCTAACCATCTCTCAGGGGAATCTGTGAAATGCTTCAGGCCCTCTGTGCCCTGTCTCTGGGCTAGAACTCTCTAACCCTTCAGCTAATGAGCACATCATGATGACAGACGCCCCTGTGCAGGGCCAGAGTCCCAGAGGCTGGCCGGCATTGCCGAACAGGTCACCTCCGTGCCTGCAGAAGGCCCTGAGAAGACATTTGGGCGTTCCATCCTGGAACATCACCAGACACCTCCACCAGCCCTCTAAAGTTGGCCTTGCAGCCGGGCAGGCACGCAGTACAGGATTGGCACGCTGAGTTCATTCCCAGCTTCATTTCCAGGTCTGCTGATGCACACCCTGGAAGGCAGCAGGTGACAGCTTCCGTACTCTGGCCCCACCTCCCACATGGGAAAGGCAGGCTTGAATTCCAGGTTGCCTGCTTCGACCTGCCCCAGCCCCAGATTTTTCAGACATTTTGGGGGAATGAGCCAGGGGATGAAAGGTCTCTGTCTCCGGGTCTCTGCTTTTCAGTTTCAGAAATAAAACTTTCAAAATACAAAGCTGAACTCACAGAAACCCGATTCTGTGTTGATTCTTCAGTCCTTGCATTTTGAAATCCTTCTTTTCAGGCTTAGATGAATAAAGAAGTGGAACCTGAGGCCCGAATCTTGGCCGCAGGATGGGGCAGTATTTCCTTTTGGGGCACCGCCCCTCCCACACTAGGTTTCCCCACCCTTCCTCTGGGGCGGGAAAGCTGGGCAAAAATAGCTTCGTTTCCAGGATCTCTCAGTGGGGCTGCTCCATCCTCTATCAGGAGAGTGAGCACCAACCAGCTCCGGGGGTTTTTCTTTTGAGAAATGAAGACAGAAAGCTTCTTCGAAATACTTTACAAACAAACAAATATCACCAAGACTAGACAACCATGCCTTCAGCCACATCCGAAAATGAAAGTTATTTTTGTGGTTGTCAAGTAACTAAGCCGACTACCAGAGCCCACCGCACCAACTGGCAGCTCGGTCTTGCCCGTCACCCACTGCCCGCCTCCACCTGCCCCGAAGCTGCTGTGGGCTCTCTCGCCTGAAGGATGGGGAAGGGTTAAGAAAGGGGTGGGACAAGCGCGGGGAAGGCATTGAGAAGGGATGGAGCCTGGAGCCCAGACGCAATCACTCAGTTGCTTTGGTCAGATAGAGGCGGCAGGAAAAGAGAGGAAACGTTGAGGTTGCAAACTAGCCACTCCAACCTCAAACTACGGGAAAGGGCTGAGTCCAGCAGAGTGTGAAGCAGCGGCCTTGAGGTGAACTTGGACTCTCCCCTCTGCCTTCCTTCCCCCAGCTCCCCCGCACAATCCGTGCGAACGCGGAAAAGATTACCAGGGCTGCCCCAGGCACCCCAAGTCAGGGCTTCACTCCCAGACCGTCCTAAACACGGGCTTCTCCCGAGAAGGCACCAGCCAAGGAGAGTTCTCCCTCGCCAGCGCCGGGTTCCCCACTCGAGCGCGCGTGCCCCGAGCTACCCGCCCCGCGCACTCGGGTGATCTCCGCTCAGAGATGAGGTTGTCAGCCAAGGAGAGGACGGAAGAGTCCAGGAGGAGTACCCGGGCCAGAGCGTCCTGACCGCCAGGGCGGGGTTGGGAAGGTGACAGCGCTCGGGCCCTCCCTCCCCCGGAGTGAGGCAACTCTGGGAAGTTCCCAGAACCGCCTCCCCACGCACTGACCGGAGATGGTCTCCTGGTAGCCCTTGGTGAAGAACTGCATGGCCGTGGCCGCCCTCCAGGGCGTCTTGAGCAGCCCCTGCCGCTGCGGGTCCTCGCCCAGCGAGCGCAGGATGGACGCGTAGGCGGACGCCAGGTTGGGGAGGCTCAGCTCGTTATCCTCCTCGCGGCGCGGCCGCTCGCCCTTCCAGCCGTCGGCCTCGGGCCGCGGGGACTTGTCCGCTGGCCGGCTGGCTCCTGGCCGCGGCGACTCCCGCTCGGGAAACCCATTACTACACCGGGCACCCCGCGGCATCTCCGCCGGGGCACGCACCGGACCCTTCTCCATCGACTGAGCCGGGCAGGGGGACGCAGGGGCGCCTCCCAGTTGCAGGTGAACTTTGCCGGTGACCTCGGGCACACAGGCGAGGGATGCACTCGCCGTCGTGGCAGGCGCTCCGAGCACAGGACAGGAGCCGGCAGCGCCCCGCTTTTATCGCCCGGCAGCTCCGCCGACCCGGCGGGGGCCTTCCCATTGGCCGGACCCGCCATGCGTCATGGAGCTCGCCCTCCTCCTCACTGCCCTGGGCGGGGCCTGGGAGCCCCAGCCGGAGCACAGGTGAGCCCCTCGCACTGGGAGCAGGTGGGGGCCACGGAATGAATGGAATGTGAAAAGGAGCGGGCGTCAGGAGCTGGAACCGCAGGGTCAGGGGAGTAAGGCGCGAGAGGTCGTGACGCCCCGGGTGAGGAGAGGGGTGAGGTAACAGGTGGATGAGGTCGGTGGCAGCTGACGATCAGCTAATCAACTCCTGCACTTTTAAGGCAAGAGAACATGGTGGCTTGGAACTAGCAAATATGCGCACTGCCAATGAGTGGCTACACCAAGTGGCCCTGAGATGAGTCCCTGCGTCTAGGAGGACAGTACTAGGGATGGCCAGAACTTTGTCCCTGTAGAAACTGACCTACAAATCTGAAGAATTAAGGCTTGATTTCAAAATGGAAGCGTGGTTGTGGGATTTGGTGCCTGGTTGATTAAGTTACAGACACGTCACTTTCCCCAGATCTTGGTACAAATTGTGAAATGCTATTGATCGGCTGGACTCTAAGCTTGTGACATCTGCTTTGTTTTGAGACTTTAAAAAAAAAGGGGGGGGCCAGTATTTGATCTAGCACTGTTGCCCTCAAATAGAACAGCAGGTCCCGTGTGAAAGCCTGCTTGGAGCGTCTCCTGGCTCCTGGCTCCTGGCTCCAGCCTACCCCAACTCTGCCCATGATGGGACACTTGGGGAATGAAACCAGCAGAGGAGAGCTGAATCAAACTCTAATAAATAAGAAATACTATTTTAAATGTTTTTTTTTTCCTTCTCTTGATAGATACAAGAAGGCCAATGATGAGTTTTAAAATATGTATCCAATCATTTGTTTTGGGGAATTCATAATGCTAATATTTACAACATATAAACAGGTATTAATGGACTTCAAATGAGACAAACCAGAAGGGAAGCCCCTGGAATTATTCTATGCTAACAAAATAGCTCTGTCACTATAATTAATAATTAGTATTTGTTGGATATCCGTTCCGGACATAACCTTGTGCTAGGCATTCAGGAAAGAACTATGGGCACTGCTGCCTTCATGGCTACCTTCAGGTTAAAACAGAAGTTAGGTACTGTGCTGATCCGAAGCCAGGATCCAGGAACTTCTTCCAGGTCTCCCACACAGGTGCAGGATCCCAAGGCTTTGGGTGATCCTCGACTGTGGTCGCTTGGGGGAGTGAATCATCAGATGGAAGATCTTCTTCTCTGTCCTCCAATTTGTATATCTGATTTTGAAATAAAAATAAATCTTAAAAAAAAGAAGGTGGGGCTGGTGCTGTGGTATAGTAAGTTAAACCTTTGTGTGCAGTGCCAGCATCCCATATGGATACCAGTTCAAGTCCCAGCTGCTCTACTTCTGATCCAGCTCCCTGCTTATGGCCTGAGAAAGCAGAAGAGGATGGTCTAAGTCCTTGGGCCCTTGCAACCACATGGGAGACCAAGAAACAGTTCCAGGATGCTGGCTTCTGACCAGCCCACTGTGGACATTGTGGCCATTTAGGGAGTGAACCAATAGATGGAAGATCTCTGTCTCTCCTTTCTAACTCTGCCTTTCAAATAAAAATGAGCTTTAAAAAAAAACTAAGAAATGTTTACGTCACTGGGGGTTTATGAAGACTGTCATTGAATTCATATTTATATTATATACCAAATTACATAAATCAAGAAATATGAATACCAATTAGAAAGCCACTCTCCAAATATTATTAAAAGTTATTTTTCCATTGGCAAAACCCTGCAAGGCCTGGCACAATGAGTACATTGTTTAATCCTCCCCCTACAAGTGTGGCATGATCCAGTTCATGTGCCAGCTGCTCTACTTCCCATCCAGTTCCCTGCTTGTAGGCTGGGACAGCAATGGAGGATGGCCCAAAGCCTTGGGACCCTATACTTGTCTGGGAAACCCAGAAAGGGCTCCTGGTTTTGGACTGGCTCAACTCCAGCCATTGTGGCTATTTGGGGAATGAACCAGTGGATGAAAAATCTTTTTCTCTGTCCCTCCTGTCTATAAATCTCCTTTTCCAATACATTAAGAAAGAACAAAAAATAACCTCCAACATATTTTATCTATAACTGAAATGCTCACTGTCCATTGATACTTCCTGATCAAAACAAACCACTTTGCATTATGGACAGGCAGATGGGTGTATGCCAAGAGGTGTCACATGGCAGGTTGGAGGAGCCCAAGACGCCTCATCCACTTTCTGGCAACCCACTGTCCTAAGCCCTAACCCCTTCCCAGGAGAGCAACTCCCAGAAGGCAGCACTGACCCAAGGATCTGCGCCTTTGAGTTAGACAGCCAAAACCAGCCCCCACCTCCCAACACTGCTGCACTGAAGACTAAAATCTCAATATGGGTTTGGGGGAGGACAAACCATATTCAAACCACAGCAGAGACAGGAAGATAGAGAGTGCCACTGAGGGAGCTGGCATAGTGGCACAGAGGGTGAATCACCACTTGTGACACCAGCATTCCGCAGGGCACCCAGGAAAGCAGTGGATGATGACTCAGGTGCTTCGGTGCTGCCACCCCTGGGGAAGACACACAGGGAGTACTCAACTCCTGGCTCTATGCTGTTGTAGTCCTTTGGGAAGTGAACCTGTGGATGGAAGATTTCTGTCTGTCCCCCCACTCCTGTGTCATTCTTTTTTTTTTAATGCAACTGAGAAGAAACCAAACCTATGGAACAGAAGAAAGCTCGTGGAGCCTTTGATACTACAGAAAAGCTTAACAGAAACACAAATTCAATAAAGCAAGAGTCAATCTAATGAAATAGACATGAAAAATGAATTAGCATGGTAGCTTTGTGGGCTCTATCTCCCTCTTTGAAATTAAATATATATTTTTTAAAAAGTGTGTTTATTGTTTTTTATTGGAAAGTTAGATTTACAGAGAGGAGAGACAGAAAGATTTTCCATCAGTGATTCACTCCCCAAGTGGCCACAATGGCCAGAGCTGAGCTGTGGCAAAGCCAGGATCCAAGAGGCTTCTGGGTTGCCCATGCAGGTGCAGGGTCCAAAGGCCTGCTTTCCCAGGCCACATGCAGGGAGCTGGATGGAAAGTGGAACAGCCGGGACGCGAACCAGCACCCCCATGGGATGCTGTGCTTAGAAGTAAAGGATTACCCAGTTGAGCCAATGTCTCGGTCCCACAAGTAATTTTTTTTTAAAGATTTTTTTTTCTATTAGAAAGTCAGATATACAGAGAGAAGGAAAGGCAGAGAGGAATATCTTCTGTCTGTTGGTTCATTCCCCAAGTGGCAGCAATGGCCGAACTTAGCTGATCTGAAGCCAGGAGCCAGGAGCTTCTTCCAGATCTCCCATGCATGTGCAGGATCCCAAAGCATTTGTGGTATTCCCAAGCCACAAGCAGGGAGCTGGATGGGAAGCAGAGCCACCGGGATTAGAACCAGCATCAATATGAGATCCTGGCACATGCAAGGTGAAGCCTTTAGCCACTAGCTACCACAGGTAATTTTTAAAATAAAAGACAGATAGTGGCAAAAGTTGTTAAATCTGTGAACAAGGGATGGCTGTGGCAGACCAATGGCCACCGGAAGTTTTAGCCCAATAGGCAAATGAACAATTTCCACCTCTATGTATGTGCTGGTGCTCGGCAGTGTTGTGCAGACTGACAGTCTCTCCCAAGCTACATGGATCAGTGTGACTCATGTTGCCAGATGTGATCATGGGAAATAACCATCAGCCAACCAGAAGGCCATGAACAAGAAGGCCTCCTGGAATTGCTTCACCAGAAATGAGAATGTCAATTTGTGGCACCTTGGGTTCATTGAGAGCTTTGCTGAAATGACCAGGGGCAGGAATGAGTGGGACACAGGTGTGGGCACCGTCCTGTCCTTCCTGGGTTTTGCTGCCCTTGTTCTGATCTGGGAGAAGCAGCTTGTGTGTGGCCCAGCCCGTACATCCCTAACAAAGTGGATGCTAGACATGGAGGTCAGCCCCACCAAGGGCTTTTCTACCTAGCGGGCTCCAACAAGAGCAAGTAGAGCTCCCTACTGTGGCTCAGAGCTTTCTGTGTCCTCTCTTCAACCGCTGCTGTGGATTTGCTGGAAACCCACACGTCCAATAGCACCAATCCTAATAAATGACCCGCTTGTATGGGAGATGGAGGGGAAAATGCAAAGAAACCAAAACTTGCATGCATTGCTTGTGAGAATACAAAATAATACGACTGCTTTACTTTAGAAAATAATCTGGCAGTTCCTCAAAATATTCAGCATAGAGTTCCTCTGTGACCTAGCAATTCCACAAAGACAATGCGCATCCACATGAAAACGCATACATGGATGTTCATAACAGTGTAATTCACATTAGCCGAAAACAACCCAAAAGCTCATGTGGCCATCCACTCATGAATGGATGGCAAAGTGTACCTATACATACAGTGGGATATTGTTCTACCATAACAACAAATGAAGCACTGTCATCTCCTCAGCAGGGATAAGCCTTAAAAACACACAAGCTTTAGGAAGCTACAGACAAAAGGTCACCTACTGTATCATGTGAAATATTCAGAATAAGCAAACACACAGGTTTATATATGCAACTATTGGGGGCTACAAGTAACGGGGAGCAGGGAAGGAATCCTAACCCTAATTGGCAAGGGGTTCTGTTTGGGGTGATGTGCATTCATAGAATTAGACAGTGGTGGCAGTGAAAAAACTAAAAACTGGTTTTTCATTTTCACTTAGTTTTTTGTGAAAAACCTAAAAATCACTGAATTGCACACTGTGAAAGCATGCATTTTTGTGGCATGGGAATTCTATCTCAAGAGAATTTCTCTCTTAAACATTAAAAATATAATTTGTAAAAGTTTACAAACAGTAGCTTTCAGAATGAAGTGTTGTGAGGTGTTTT